TGTATGGTTTATTTGGAAATATTATAATCATTGCCAAAAAGGGGTATCCTTTCAAAACCAACACTTTTATCACAGTTTTTTTAAGCAATTAAAATAGCAACATTTTGGTTTCTTTATATAAATATAGGGTTTTAGAACTATGAAATTCCTATACATAAAAAGAAAAAAGGGCGGTGATACGTAGGAATGATCTATTCGGCTCTACATTAATTATCTAATAGTTTAAGTTATAAAATAAACAATACATTTGATATGATATTACCCAACGTTATATGGTCGTACATGATGATCTTCTAGGCGTTCCTTTTTTAATTCTTTGGTAGATTTCTTTTGTAATATTCTATACATACAACATAAATAAACCATACATCAAAATTTTTTATAGTTCATTAATATAAAATAATCCATTATAAATATGGGGTATTTCCTTCAGTTACTTTCAAATTTTCAAAAATTTGAAAGTTATAATGACGTCAACATCATCAACATCACCCGAAAGGCAGCAATTGTCGCTTTCTTCTAATAATAATTCGGATTACGGTTCAACATCGGAAGACTTTCATAAGCCGGTAACTTTAATATCTTTTGATAATAATGATGCAGGTCCAACTCCATCTAGTCCGGTTTTCCACGTTTCACCTACTCCCACCATATACAATTCCTTTAAACTTCTGCTCACTTCTTCATATCTAAACTGGTTATTAATCTTTTTACCATTGGGATTTTTGGCTAATGCGTTAAATTGGAGTGATACTTGGGTGTTTACTTTGAATTTCTTTGCGATCGTCCCATTGGCCAAATTGCTTGCATTTGCAACCGAAGATGTTAGTCTGAGAATTGGTCAGGTAATTAATTTTATTTCATTAAAAGGATTGCATAAAAGAAAATCGATTGAATTCATTTCTTTATTTTTTTTTCGCAGACATTGGGTGGTCTGTTAAATGCTACATTTGGTAATGCGGTAGAATTAATTGTTTCTATAGTAGCCCTTAAAGAAGGAGAGATACGCGTGGTCCAAGCTTCAATGCTCGGATCTATTATTTCAAATTTGTTATTGGTGTTGGGAATGTGTTTTGTTGCGGGAGGCATGTATCATGATGAACAAGAATTTAACCAAACTGCCGCACAAACGAGTTCAAGTTTAATGGCTTTAGCATGTATTGGCCTAATCATTCCCGCGGCTTTTAATTTTGCCGTTGGCAATGGTACTACCGTAATTGATTTTAAGCATGAGATTTTAGATCTGTCACACGGCACGGCGATAGTTCTATTGATCATTTATGTCCTATACCTTTTTTTTCAAGTGAGTGACGATGTTGTGACGAGACATCTACGTGAAACCGTAAACTAAACCTTTTTCTTTTCTTTTCTTTTCACTTTTTGATCACCAGTTGAAAACTCATGCACATTTATATGATGAAACTGAAACACAAGAGGAACAACCTCAATTATCTCTTGGTGTATCATTATTCTTTTTAGCCGGCGTAACAGTCTTGGTAGCACTTTCTGCCGAATATCTGGTTGGTTCGATCGAAGGAATCGTTGAATATTCGGGATTAAGCAAGACATTTGTCGGATTAATTTTATTGCCTATCGTTGGTAACGCTGCTGAGGTACTTTCTTCGAATTCGAAAGTTTTTTTTTTTTGTCGAAAGTTTGGCTTAACACGTGATTTTCCCTCATTATAGCACGTTACGGCCATTACCGTCGCCATGAAAAATAAAATGGATCTTGCTATCAATGTCGCCGCAGGCAGTTCTATGGTAAATATTCCTGATTACTCTTTTTGTTTCTCTTTTTTTGCTCCTTCTACTGCGCCAACCAATAATTTCTCCGTCCTTTCTTTTAGCAAATCGCATTATTCGTCACTCCATTTCTCGTCGTACTTGGATGGGCAATTGGAGTACAGATGACCTTGTTTTTTAAGACATTTGAAACCGTCGTATTATTCATTTCAGTCTTGATAACGAATTATCTCATTCAGGTAAATCTACTCGGTTTTTTTAGCGGAAAAAGTCGATTCGAAATTAACGAATATTTTTTTTTTTTTAGGATGGGAAATCAAATTGGTTAGAAGGAGCAATGTTGCTGGCCACATATGCTATCATAGCGTTAGCTTTCTACCTTTATCCGGACGTTGATGATGCAAATGAGATTAACACTGATCTACATTGGAATTAATTATTTCATTTTTTATCTTTTTTTTTTTACTTAAATTCAAATGAATACATTGTAAATATTATTTATGTATTATTTATTTCCCTTGTTTTATTATTATTTATTTATTTTATTTAGACATATTTTATTCTATTTGATTATTTCTTTAAGGAGGGTTTCCAATTTTTTTTTTTTTCTTAAAACCTGATCAAAAAAAAAAAAAGAATATATAAATATTTATGATATATGACATAATTCTGTGCAACGAATGATCATAACAACCCTCCCCAAAAAAGTTTAAAAATCTAGGAACGTTAAAGGTTTCGACTCCTAAAACATCATACCTTACATTACATTACATAATATGTCTCTAAGCCCAAATGTGACTGATGAAAAATTGCAACAAACTGGTTCAAAAAGAAAAAGAAAAAAAAAAAAAAACGCCATCAGTTATTATTATTATTCCAATTTTGATTATAATAGATAACTACATTACATTATACTTGATCAAATAATATAAAAAAAATTTGAAACCTGAAAACCCAGTTTGTATTTTGGGCGTCCAAACAGTTACCCCCGATGGCGACATCTGAAAAAAAAAGGCAGAAATTAATATAAGAATGTTACCTGTATCTTTGATTTGACATGTGTAACTATCCCAACGTGAAAAAAAAAATTAGGGGTAACTCACCACTCGTTCGAGGAAAAATGGAAAGATTTTTTTTCTTTTAACGAAAACATGTTTATTTGGTAATCATCGAACCAATTATACAAATTGTTGAGGACACTTGTCACAATGAAAGGACCAAAAATCAAGTTTTAACTTTGGTTTAATCATAACTCAAAGAGATATTTTAGAAAGGTATTTCTGATGATCTATATGTTTTTTATTGGTGCTCCATGAATAACCCGAATCAACATGTTAAAGTTGTTATACGTTGGAGAAATCGGCTAATTTTGCACCTAATTATACAAAAAAAGGAGCGTTTAGAACATCTTTTGATGGGGATTGTCAAATACACATCTAGGGAAAGAATTCGGCTGATCCGCTTAATTTTTTGTACTAAATATTAATTTGCAACAATTTTTACAGTCAGCCGATATGGTTAGCAAAATTTTAGTACATTATGAACTATTCCAATACCATAACCTATTTATCTCCTAATATGATTTTCACTTTTTCAAGTGAGGGGACATTTCTCCTTTTGTCAATATGATTTTCAGGCGAGATATGTTCAGAATTTATTTTTTTCACCTTTCTTTGACAAAGTGAACATAATTTTTTAGACCACGGAGGATATGATCAAAAATAAGGGGAGTTGTAACTATTATGCTAAAATGATCTCATGCTAATCATGTTATGCCAAATGACATAATCATTTAAACGACGCGTTAAGTTGTTGCACAATAAATTAGTAATTTTAAGTTTGGTGGAAATCCCGGGATTTCATTCATATAATGAATACAAAAAATCTAATAAATAAAAAGATCCAATCATTTGATCACCAATTAAAAATCGTAATAAAATTAATTTCCGATTTTTTACTTTTAAAGTAAACAATATATAGGGTTATCTGATAGCAAAGTTCTACAGAAAGGTCACTACCCATCGGGTTGATGCATCATCGGTTCCTAGAGTTTTCTCGGAGTAAATGATGTTACCTGCGAAAGAATTAAATGTCAATTTGAAATCAAGATTTATAAATTATCAAAAATAAGCCTTCGTTAAAGCTTATAGCCATTTCTTAAAAAGGCATTACAATGATTTATGGGGTGAGTGTCGAGAAAAGGAAATTATAAAAGAAAAATAATTATTTATTTATAAAATATTAATGTTCTGATTCAGAAATAACATTGGGGTGCGCTGTCGACATAGATTAGAAATCTGGTCCTATAGTAATTTTTACTATTAAAAGGTTTTTTACTTTTTGTAGTTTCGATAGTTTAAATTTGCTTTATAATAATCTTCTCACTAAATCGATACATTTTTATACTTTAATAACTTTAGAGGTCTTCGTTCCAAATTTTACAAAAACTATTCTAAATTATTGTCTCTTTCATGTAACAGCTCGTTTTTTCCAATATATATATATATATATATATCATTTACGCTTCAAGAAATAATAAATAAATAAATCTTTTTGTGCACGGCTCTCTAAATAAAAAATTTTTTCTTTTGTTGTTACCAAGAAAAGCGAAGTGTCACATTGTTTTTTAGGTTATATTGTATTCATTTAAAGTTTTAATAGTCTGATTGCTAACTTAAACCGAGTTATTTAAAGATTCGTAACAATAGTCAGCAAATAACTAGGCGCGGCATGTAAGTTTCACAAAATCTTCAATAGTAAATTTACTATAGGACCATACACTGGTATAATTAGTTGACCACACACTTGTACTCCTCATTGTAAAAGTTGTCTGGTACATTGAATAGAACATTCATTCACTTTGTTAATACCGGACACAAGACAGCATGCTAACACACAACAGGTATTAATTAATTAAATGAAATGACTTTTTATTCACGGTTTTCAAGTCTATCTCTTAATTTAATATATATATATATATTTATACAGAAAGGATATCAATGTGACAACAAGTAATGGTACAGAGGAAACAAAAAAAATGTGATGACCTTAAAAGCGGTCTTCTTTCTTATCCATATTAGGGAATAAAATCGGAGTTATTATTATATATATATATATTTTTTTTTAAAAAAAAACAGACGGTTCTTTCCCCTTTTAACGACCTATGATTAGCTAAAAATATACCCCGCATTCTAGATAACCTCCTACATTTTGAATGTAACTCCAACCAAAATTTTAATCATGTATCAATGTATTTTATTGTTGCCTATCTATAAATAAAATCATGATCTATTTCTTTCTAATGAACGGACATAAACGTAAACGAAATAAAAAGAAGAGAATTAAAATGCATATACAGAAACCAGTGGTTATTATATAATTATTACTTCCTGAAGTTTTATTTGTATTAGCGTCATTTTTATCTGTATTGCCGCCACTTTTATCTGGAACATATGCTTTTGTATTGCCGCCACTTTTATTAGGACTGGTAAATCCACCATTTTGAAACACCGTGACTGACTCCGAAAATGCAACTTTGATTTTTTGCGGGTTGGAAAAAGTATTTTTAACGACCAAACAATGTATATCGGAAAACTCGATCAAAATATTTCCGGTATCTTGATCGCATTTGGTTACGACCGTTTCACATGATAAGGAAGGTACATATCGATAAATAGTGGAATGGTTGGCTATATTTATTGAATTATCCGATGTTGCCACAAATGTCACAATTCCATTTCCTGTTAATGGTGTTTTACCAACTGGTATTCCCTTAGATTCAATTCCAAATCCAGGTGTGATTAAGGTTGAATCGGGAACCTCTCTAACACTGTAACCTATAGAAATAATTTCGTTAATGCGATTTCTTTTAACAGAAGGAAAATGAATGATGAGAACGGTTGCTACTTACTAACTGATTTTGTTTTTGTTTTACCACATATCCTCCAAGTACCATTGTTTGCAGGAACATTCGCTGTTTGATAAGGTTCGACGACAGCTCCTAAATCTACTGGTGGTTGAGATGGTGATTGAGATAAGACAGAGATAAACTGTGATAGATTAAAAAAAAAAAAATTAGGTTTTAATCGTAAAAATGGAATGAAAAGGTTAATTAGTAACGAGAATTTATCATACCAAGAAACTCAAAAATAAGGCGATTTTAATTAAGCTCATTTTGCTTCTAAATTATGTTTTTGAATTGTAGAAAGCAGATCGAATTAATGTGCCCACTTTTTATACTTGAAAAACGTTCTAAACTGTCTTGTATTATTCGACAAAAATAAAAATTCTTTCATATCATTTTATCTTATTCGGTGTAATATTAAGGATATATTATCTGTAAATTGATTCGTTTAAATTAATTTGTTTGTTCGATAATTAATTAAATGCCGAAAAATTCTTCGAGATCGTCATCATTTGTATGTATTTCCTTGCTAAACTTGGCGAAATCTATGTATGACCTAGACTATTTCGTTGTTTGACCCGTTTGAAAGAAAATGAAATTCAAATTTTTCATGCCTAATGACATTATTGTTTATTTAAGTATTAATGAAAGAATATTCTTTTTCAATTCAAAAATTATTAAGATTTGTAATATTCAATGTCTGATCTCTTACTATCTTGCACACTTCAACGTGGGTTTTACAACTGCAAAACGGATCACGTTGGTTACAAGATTAAACCTTCAAAGACATTTTTAATGATATTTAAATAATTCTAATATCATATTCATCAAAATAGTTATTAATTTCTTTTTATTTATCTCATTTAATATAACTACTGTATACTAGCTGTTAGTTATATATATATAGTATCTACATTAATATAAGTGATTTTAATGAATAGATATTTATTAAATTGTTATCATTTTCTTTATTTATATTAATATATTCTAACCTTCTATATTTTTGTATATTATTTACAATATTATTGATATTAATAAGATGAATTTTAACTAGTTATGTATTCATTAAAGTTTATATATATTTTTATTTTAACGATTAAGATAAGTTATTTTAAAATGATTAATTTTGTTTATTGATAATAAATTAAGCTTACTTTATCTTTTTTATAATTTTAAAAAAGATTTTGTAAAAATTTTTTTCCTTTTATTTAATTTAAATAAAACAAAAGGTATTTTTATATAATTGCTAAAATTGATTAAAATATAATAAAAAAATAACTAATAAAATTATTTTAATTATTAAATTTATTAAATATTAAAATTATTATATTAATAATAACAATACAAATATTAAAAAAATATATATTTGTAATATTTTTTTGAAAAATAATTTTATTAATTTAAATATAAATAAGATTTAAATTTTCAGTGATTATATTCTTATATAAACTGAATATTTACTAATATAAAATTAAAATTAAAAATAGATTAATTAAATAAATTAATTATTTTTTTAAATAATCATTTTTATTAAGATAAAACTTAATTTAAATATATAAATACTTTGCAATAGAAAGAAGAAAATCTTCAAAATATTTTTTAAATCAAAATTTAACTTATCAAGTAAAATAATTAGTTTTTAATAATTTTCTTCTATATTGCAAAGTATCTATACAGTTTCCAGTAAAAAGAATGGCAGAAAAATATTTGACAGTATGTACAAACTTTATTTTAATGTATATTTTTTTTTATTATTTATAAAACTGATACTAATGACAATTTTTATATTATTTAATTAATATTTGGTAAATCCTTCTTCTGCATTAATATATACTTTAACTTAACTTAATATGCTCTCAATGTACTGAAGTAACATGATGTTATTAAAATCATTCCATTTCTGCCAAATTGTATTAAGGAATATATTGCAGATAATATTTTTTTGCTACTAAATATTTGATCTTTTTCTTTACCTTTCCCTTTAATACAACCTATACATTTTCAATAAAGTTTAAGTTTAGGCTATATAAAGGTTAAAAAAGAACTTGTCCTAAAAGATATTTTTTTAAGTCTCTCTGAATATTATGTGAGATGTATTTTAGGTCATTATTTTGTTAAAAGACTCAACTGCGTCTGTATAATATATTCACATTATTATACAAATAGTTGTTCAAATTTTTTGATACAAATAATGATTTAAATTTTTAGTAAACAAATAAATGCTGATTTTCCTTTGCACTAATCGCTGCCTAAATATGAACCTTGAATAAGTGCTTTACTATAGGGATAATTAGTTGTATATTATGCTATGCACACAAAGTATTTCTAAATATCTAAAATATTATTTCATTAGAAAAAACAACTTTTTTTCAGTTATAATGTGAATGATTACGTATTCAAGACAAATAAAAATCCTTCACTTTTTAGATTAAGAGAGGAATCTTTCTTGGAAGAACAAAAATATACTCAAGATTATTGAATTTATGACGTATTGTATATTTACTAACATCAAGGTTAGGATCTTTTTCTTCTAATTTTACCTTAAGTTCGTCTGCTGTAATAAAATAATTATATTGCAGAATTTTTTCAATAAAACAACATTGATTTGAAGCTAATTTTCTTGGATAATTAGAAGAATAACTAATAAAAATTTTGCCAGTTTTATTTAGTAAACTAATATATCGTTTACATATGTGTAAAGGAATGCATAATCAATTAGAAATTTTCTTTGCATTACGTACTTTTTGGTTCCAAAATGACTTAACAGAATTTCTTTATATTTCTAAGAGCTTGGCATAGTTTTAAAAAAAATCAAAATATAAACAAATAATAAACCTTATTTTTTTAACTTATCTTTTTAATTCAAGTTTTATTGTCTGATTTAGGTATATAAATAAATGTCTAAATCTAAAAGTGATGAAATCACAGCACAAAATAGAAGCAGTTTTTCACTGCTATTCTTTTTATTAGGGACTGTATTTTAAATTTTATAGAAATATTAAATCAAAATCAAGTAATAAATTTAAAATTAAATTTATTTTTTTATTTTTATTATTTTAATATAGGTATTTTTTAGTATAAAAAACTTTTTGCATTTTTATATAATAATTAATTTATAAAAATATAAATTGCTATAATTTTATTACATTTTATATAAATTAAATATATGAAACATGTATTTAAATAATAATTTAATATAAACTTCATTATAATATATAATAAAAATAATATAGACCATAAATAAAATAATATTTATATATTATCATATAACTACTATAATTATAGTTATTACTTATAATTTATATTAAAATCTTTTTATTTCAAATCCTATACTTTATTTAAATTTTAAATTTTATATCTTATATTTCAATTTTAAATACCAATTTTTATATAATTTATATATAATTTTAACTATAACTTTACTTATAATAATCAATTAAATCATTTTATCAAATAAAACTAATGAATCAATTTGAATCACATTATGCTTTTAAAGTTTTGATTAAAAATAAAATTTGAAATAAAATAGAATTAACCTTTATTTCATAACTATATAATATAAATTATAACTGCAATTAAATATGTCTAAATACAATCAAATGTAATTAATAATTAACGTAATTGATTTAAAAATTATCAAATCAGCTATAAATTAAAAAAAAAAAAATAAAATAAAGTTTAATTTAATTTAATATTATTTTATTAATTTACAATATCAGATATATCCGCTATCAAAAAAAAAACCTGTTATAAACTAGACATGCGTTATATTAATTAAGTTTTGCTCAATGTGATAACTGATTTGTTATCAGATTGATCGGATTATATATTTGATCTGCAATGATTTTTTATTAATATAGACAAAAAGTTCTGATCATGCGAATGATTGTCATAAAAAGTTGATTTTGCTTAATATATACAGTATATTTACTTTGATGCGCAAAATCTGGGCATCAAAACACGAGTGATATAAAACAAAAGGCTAACCAGCATACCACCAATATATCCAATTCCATCATTTTGAAAACCGACCAATAATCCTGCTGTTACGATAACTAGGGTAAAGTTCTTTTTTGTCTCATCATCATCTTTATGATCACGAGTGTTCATGAAATTTCGTGCTGCAGATGATAATTCCGCTCCCGAGACAAAGAGCATTACACCAATAATTGAATAAGGGAAGTAATTTAGAAGATTGGTTAAAGTCTTTCCAAATAATATCCCCAGGATTAATTTAAAAAATCCAAGAACCAAAACGCTAACTTCGGATCTTGCGCCGAAACGGTATTGTCCAGCCAATCCACCTGATCCATGACAATAGGGGATAGAGCCGAAAAAACATCCAACAATGTTCATAAGTCCGACGGAAATTGAAATTTTTTTAACAGTATTCAATGAGGATCGTTCCGGGAACAAATCATTAGCTAATGCCGCCAATGCGATGACTGAATTGAGAGTTGTCAGTGGAAGTTGGCCAAGAGATGCACTAAGGAATCCGACTTTAAATTCTTCTAGGGTTGGGACAACAATTTCAGGAAGATTAAATGAGATTGATGGTAATGTACTATTAGATACAAAGACCTTTATAAAGGCAATTATTAGCCCAAAGATGAATAGAAGTAATGCCGTAGGTATTCTTTTAGATGAATAAAATGCAAATACGAATATGAATGATAGAATAGCCCATTCATAATTATCATTCCATTTCCAAGAACTACCGCCCCAACTACCATTTTTTCGAACCATATCGGCAGCTTTTATGATTAGCGATAAGCCTGCTCCCAATTGAATGCCTCTGATTATTGGAACGGGTGTCCACTTTTCGATGAATTTAATAGTTTTAGTGATGCCAAGAATAAATACCATTACACCAACACCAAGACCAGCAGACATGATTTCACCTATAGATAAATTTGCCGAGATTGCCACCGCAGCGATAGCTGTTATATAGACATGATTAATATCTTTTTTTTATTTTGAAAAAATGGTAAAAACAATGAAGAATAAATTTATTACCTTTCATAGGTTGAACACACATGGGGATTCGAAACATCAGACCGCTAATGATATTCCACAGACCTCCGAATATAAGTGATGCAGTCAAAGAAACCTGTCCGGTGATTGAAAGAGCTACTAAGATTGGAAGTAAAGTGCCTAAATCTCCAAGACTACCACTTAATTCCGATAGAGATACATTCTTTTTTATATGTAAAATTCTCTCTTTGAGGGATGAGTGGATATAAAGTAAAGGTTTGTGCCGGAAGGAAAAGTCATCGTTTGATTTTGGTGATTCTGCAATTTCGACGATTTCGTGCGAAGTCATGTTTAAAATTTCGTCAAGAAATTTTTGCTATCATTTTATCTGATCATTTTTTATCTTATCATTATTATCTTATCGTTATCAACAAATTTTATTATCGTTAATTTTTTGATTTATAAGTAAAAAAAAAAAAAAACCCTAAACTTTTGTTGGTCAAAAACATCTACCTAAAGGTTTAGATAATTTTTTTTTATTTAGATTGATATGATTGATGTCCAAAACAGAGAGATCTAAACAGTCGGGAATGAACAATATTTATGGATTTTTATAATTTTTGTATTATTATTTTGTAATCTAACTTTTTTTTATAATATCCGTTTGCTTATGTAAGTTCTTTTAATACAATTATGCTGCAACCTTGGTATTACCAAAAATTTCAGTGATCAATATATTTCTTTAACTATATTACCAATGTAAATATTTGTCTTAATATGAACCTAATTTACATTCCAAAAATTACAGCATAATTAGAAGTATTTGAAAAAGAAACAAGGCGAAAAATTGCTTCTTATATTTTTAAAATAAATGATAATCAAAACAATTGAAACTTATTTATGAAATCTACTAAGAAGAAATAAAAATCATAACTAATAAATGAGTATTAATACAGAATCATATCTAATTTAGAATAACATAATATATTTATTAAAGATTAAAGAAGTTAAAAATAGGTTTGATAAAAAAGAATTAGTATACTAGTAAAGACTTTTTAGCTAAATATAATATTTATTTTAATTGCTAAATTTTTTAGACTTGTTAGTTAATTTTTGCTAAATGTTTATAATTTATTTCTCTTATTTTATAAGATTAAAAAAAATCTTATATTTTTGATTCTTAACTATTACTAACTGCTTTAACTTTTCAGCTATTTTTTTTTTTTAGATTACTTTCAAGAAAATTCAACTTTTTTCTTCTTAATTAACTTTAATTTTTAAATATTAAATTAACAATTTTTTAATTCTTTTATACTACTTTTTTTTATATAAAAAGTAAACAAAAGCAAAAAAAATAATATATTTCATTTTTTATAAGAATATAACAAATTAATAATATTTATAATACCATATTCTTCCAAAAATAAGCAACACCTGTTTTATATAGATTCTGAAAATAAGTAACACTTCATAAAAAGTTGAAATTTTTTTTTTAATAAAATTTTTTTTTGTAAATAAATAATTTAGCTTTATAAATATATTATAAATGCATTTTATTATTACAA